CTGGGGCAGCCCCTGGCAGAGCCTCTCCCACTGCCCCCACAGAGACCATGGGGCTCGTCCCAGCCCCTCAGGGGTGCCAGGGCTGTGAGTGAGTCAGGGCCGGCCCGAGCTCCATCACTCACTCACTCACTGCTCAGCTCTGCCCTGCACCAGCACTGGGCAGAACCAGGGAGCCCCAAACTGCAGCTGAGCTGGGGTGGGCACAGAGCACAGAGCCCACAGACCCCATTATACCCAGCCCAGGGCGTGCTGCTCTCTGAGGCTCCTCTTCACACACCCAGGCAGAAAGGGAGCTCTGAGACCCGGGCCAGGATGGGGACCAGGGTCAGGATCTGGACCAGGGTCAGGATCAGTTCCAGGATCAGGACCAGGGTCAGTACTAGGACCAGCGTCAGGACCAGAGTCAGATTTGGGGTCAAGGTGAGGGGTCTCACCCCATGCCCAGGACTGGAGCCCGTTCTGTGCAGTTTATGGGATGTTTATGGGCTCTGCCATCACAGACTGGTGGGATGAGTTTGCAGAGGCTCAGGGTGCTGAGTCACGGTGCTGGCCCCAGCCTGGCCGTGCTCGGGGGTGATAACTGGGGTGGCACAAACAGGAGCCTTGTGGCCAGTGATAAGGCAGCCCCTGGCCCCAGGGCAGTGTCCCCTTTCTGCTGAGTCAGACTCTGACACAGCAGAAAACATTTCTGCTGAGCCAGAGGGGCAGCCAGGGAAAACAGACAGCTTTTTCAATGGATTCTTTACTTTGCTTGGCAGAACCAGGAGGGCAGCTCTGGACAGCAGAACCAGGAGGGCAGCACGGGCTGCTAGGGCTCAGGACCCTGCTCTGTCTGTGGGGCAGAGCCCTGGCAGGCTCAGGGGCTCTGCATTCCCAAAGGGATGGTGGGACACATCCTGAGACGCAGCCCCTCCTCTCCATCCCCTTCTGCTGCCCTGCTGCAAGTCTCGGGGCAGGGGAAGTGGAAGGTGCCAGCTGCTGCTGAAAACTTCCCTGTTTCCCTAAGAGAGGGAATTTTACACCTTGTCCTCCTTCTCCTCCCCTGTTCCCCCTGTGCTGGCCACAGGCAGGGCTCCCTTGGGGAAACTGAGGCACAGAGCAGAGTGGCTGCTCTCCAGAAATGCCATGAAATGCTCATGGCAGGGGCAGATCCCCTTCAGGACAGGGACATGTTTGCTGTCCTATGTCCTGCTCCTAGCCAGGGACACAGCAAGATAAAGTGTTCCTCAGAATGAAGAATTCCTTAAAATCTTTAGAATTCTTTAATTAGAATCATGGCATCATGGCGTCCCAGACTGGTTTGGGTTGGAAGGGACCTTAAAGCCCATTCATTTCTAACAGGGCAGGGACACTTCCACTGTCCCAGGCTGCTCCAAGCCCTGTCCAGCCTGGAGGTTCTGACAGGACAGTGATGCCCAGCCAGTCTGGGGGTGTAGAGTCCCCTGACCAGCCCAGCCCGGGCCAGGGAGGTGGGTGCTGAGCCAGGTGTGCTCCAGCCAAGCTCCTGCTGTGCTCCCAACCCAGCCTCTTCCTCTGGACTGGGGAGCTTTTGGGTCCGGGTGGTTCAGGGTGACCTGCAGGACTGTTTTGGGAAGCATGAATTCAAAGGCACAACATTCACCCAGCATCTCCTGTGACCCCAGCAGCTTGTGTTTTTCACAAGTCCCTTCCAAACAGGCCCTGAGAGGGGGTCTGGAGGCTCCAGCACTGCCCCAGAAGTGCATTTTCCTTTCTGCTTGGAATGGGGCAGCTTCCTGGGGCAGCCCCTGCTGGTTCATGCCCAGGGGACCACAGGCCCCTGGGGGATGCAAAAGGACTCACGGACCCTCGGGATGAGGTAAAAGCACCAGCCAATTTTTTGTTACACAAACAGCAGCAAATCCGCTTTTCCAGGCAGGGAAACTGAGGCAGGGAGGGGAGACCAGCAGGAGTGACTGGGACAGACCCAGTTTGTTCTCCTGGGACCCCCCACCTGCCCTGAGACCCTGCTGCTCCCATCAGTGCCTGGATTTCCTGCAGTGGTGCTGGGGTTTGGCTGCTCCAAGCCCATCCCTAATTATGGCTTTGAGTTTTCCACCAGGCAGGGTTTGGTGCTGAGCTCTCTGATTTGGGGTTTCTCCACCCTCAGAGGTAAAAGCTGGGTGGGGTGCTGGTGTGGTGAGAGGCAGAGGGAGCAGAGCCGAGCTGGGGGCGAGCTGCCCCTACCCCACAAGGCTCGCTTTGCCCCACTCAGTTCCAGAGGTGCCCCAGGCACCAGGCTGGAGCCACGGGGCAGCTGCTTCCAGGTGTGGGTGGCACCTGCGCCCCTGTCCCCAAAACCCCTGCCCAAATCTCCTTGTTCTGCACCCTCCCAGCCCCAGTGCCCTGGGGAACCTCCTCCGTGCCCAGTTTGTCCATCCCTGCTGGGAGCCCTGTAAATAACTCTGTGATTTGAGGCTGCACCCGCCGGCCCCAGGGCTGGTGTGTGGCACAGAAGGGCTGAGATAAGGCCCTTCCCCAGCCCCTGCAGCATCCAGCACGGCTGTGCAGAGCTGGGGCCAGGGAGCACGGGATGGGGCACAGCACAGGTTCGGGGCACTCGGGGCTGGCCTCTGGCAGCTCCTGTCTGCACTGCAGCTGTGCTGCTCTCGCTGCTGCTGCTGCCTGAAGGTGACCTTCTCCTCCTCCTCCCATTCTGTGTGATGTGGGGATGGTTGTTGGAGAACCTTCCCCACCTTGCAGCCAGCAGCTCTGTGCAGGGAAGCAGGGATGGCTGGCAGGGGAGCTGTCCCTTTGTTCTTTTTAAGCTTTTCTAAGCCTTCTGATGTTCACATTCTTGTAACGAACTTTCTCACGCACTTTATGTAAACAACTTATTGTTTTGCGTTCTTTTGTAGAGGAAAAGAAGTTCAATGGACTGTTGGTTTGTCCAGTGTCTTTGGAGAGGTGGCACTGTCACCTTCCAATCCACTGTCACTTTTGAAAATTTATAAAGGTTGGAGTCAGAAATGAAACATCCTCTTTTTTACCTTAGACAGCTGCATGTCCCCATTGTTTTCTTTTAAAAATAATATAGGGACAGGGAGCAGAGCCTGCAAAGCCCCAGCTCGGGAGCTGGAGAGGGGGCAGCGGGGCCCAGGGCCTGTCCCTGTCCCTGCTCAGGCTGCTGCTCTGCTCTGGGCTGCAGAGTGCCCACAGTGGTGGAACCAGGCGGGCGAGGGTCGTGTCCTGCCCGGGCCATGCCTGAGGAGGAGCAGGCCGGGTGCTGCTGGCCATGCCCACGTGGCACTGCTGCTCTGCTGGCCCTGGGGACAGGCACAGCTCTCGGGGACCACCGGGCCCAGGCAGCCCATGGTCCCCAGCCATGCAGGCTTGGCCCCGTGTGTGTGAGGGGCTGGATGGGAGTCACAGGAGGGGAGGGGTCCGGGCCTGGCAGGGCCACTCTGCACACCTGGGCTGGGGTCCCAAACAGGAGCTGACACTGGAGCAGCTCCTGGGTTTGCCAAGGGACCTTCACGGAACTGTGGCTTTTGGGCTCAGCCAGTAGCCAGAAACCAGGTGGCTTCTCTTTAAAACTACACCAGTTCTGTCCTCCCTGCTTTGTCTCTGCTTCACCTGGAGCGTTTTGCCTGGCTCAGTCTGCACAGCTGGAAACAGCAGTCATTCCACAATTAGCAGGCGCTAATGAGGCTGCTGGAGCTTCCAGGGGATGCTGCAGCTCAGCCTCCTCAGCTGGCCGGTTTAGAGTGGGAATCACAGAATCACAGACAGCTTTGGCTTGGAAAGGACCCTAAAGGCCATCTCATTCCAACCCCCTGCACTGCCGTGCCGTGTCCCCAAGCGCCACTTCTGAGACAATCCCTGCCCAGAGATCCTGGCAGAGCCTTGTCCACAGCTGAGACCCCCTGTCCTCCCCCTCAGGGCTGTCCTCAGACCCTGTCCCGTGGGAAGGAGCTCTGGGACATACCGTGGGTGGCAGAGGCTTCCCCAGCCTAAAAAAGGGTGAGACAAACCCACAGGAGAGCCCCTGGGTCCCCAAACAGCCTCTGGGTCTGGCACTGTGGGCTTTCCTTGTGCCCAAACCTTGGGTTGTCAGCCCTTGGTTTCCCAAAGAGACCCTGGGTCTGGCATTGAGGAGAAAACTGTAGATTTTCCTGTGGGTTTTTCCCTGTGCCCAAAAAACTGTAGATTTTCCTGTGGGTTTTCCTGTTGCCAGGCTGGGACAGGCAGCGCCAGCCTGAGCTCCTGGGGCAACATCTCCAGTCCGGTGCTCAGGAGGGTAACTGGGAGCCCCCAGGGTAACTGGGAGCCCCCAGGGTAACTGGGATCTCGGGGACACCCGCGGGGCCCGAGCCGGGTGCCGTGTGCCCCCGAGAGGGAAGGAGCGGGCCGGGGTCCCCTGGGCAGCCCCCCTGCCCCTGCCGGGCCCGGCCCCGCGGGGCGAGCGGCGGAGCGCGGCTCGATGCCTCCCTCTGCCGGGGCTGCGGGCCCAGCGGGGCGGCGGGGCCCGAGCGGCCCGGGGAGCGCGGGGTGGGCATGGGGATCGGGGAGGGGGGATGCAGGATGTGAGATGTGGAATGCGGGATGTGGGATGCGGGATGCGGGATGTGAGATGTAGGATGTGGTATGTGGGATGTGGATGTGGGATGTGGGATGCGGGATGTGAGATGTGGAATGCGGGATGTGGGGTATGGGATGTGAAATGTGAGATGCAGGATATGGGATGCGATGCAGAATGCGGGATGTGGGATGCGGGATGTGAAAAGTGAGATGCAGGATATGGGATATGATGCGGGATGTGAAATGTGGAATATGGGATGTGGGATGTGAAATGGGAGATGCAGGATACGGGATGCGATGTGGGATGCGGGATGTGGGATGCCAGATGTGGGATGCCAGATGTGGGATGTGGGATGTGGATGCAGGGTGGGTAAGGGAGGCAGATGTAGAGGCAGGAGATGGGATGAGATGCAGAATCCAGGGTCAGGAGGCAGATGCAGGATGCAAGAGGCAGGTGGGGGATGTGGAAGATGCAAATGCAGGAGGTGGTGTGGATGCAGGAGGAGGGAGGTGGGATGCAGATGTGGATGTGGATGCAGGAGGAGGGAGGTGGGATGCAGATGTACATATAGATGCCAAATGAAAGAGGTGGGATGCAGATACAGATGGGGATGAGGGATGTGAATGCAAGAGGAGGGAGGTGAGATGTGGATGCAGATGTGGATGTGGATGTGGATGCAGGAGGAGGAAGGTAGGATGCAGATGTGGATGTGGATGCAGGAGGAGGGAGGTGGGATGCAGATGTGGATGCAGATGTGGATGTGGATGCAGATGTGGATGTGGATGCAGGAGGAGGGGGGTGGGATGCAGATGGGGATGAGGGATGCTGCGGTCCCTGCTGCCCCCATCACGCTGTGGCCTCAGGCTGCACTGGGGGCTCCCCAGGTCCTCAAGGAGAGGAACCATCTCCACAGAGTCACACAGGCTGCCCCATGCCAGATGCACCCAGAGGCTCTTGGTGCCGTGTCAGGACCTTCACAGAAAGGTTTTTTCTTCCATTCTTCTTCCTTTTGTCACATTCCTCCTTTTCCTGGAGCAGGACGACAGCCCAGAAATCGAGTCCCTGTGAGAGGCTGCTCTCCTGCTCTCTTGTTCCTCTGCAGAGGAACCTCAGCAAAGCTCAGTCAGAGCCAGGGCCCACGTGCCTTGGGGAGGTCTAGGGGATCACAGCCACCACCTCCCTGCCCCAGGGATCACAGAATCATTACAGTGGCAAAAGACCTCACACATGGAGAGAAACTCTTTACAGGAGCCTGGAGTGCCAGGACAAGGGGGAATGGCTGCCAGTGCCAGAGGGCAGGGCTGGGTGGGATCTTGGCAGTGAGGAATTGTTCCCTGGCAGGGTGGGCAGGCCCTGGCACAGGGTGCCCAGAGCAGCTGGGGCTGCCCCTGCATCCCTGGCAGTGCCCAAGGCCAGGCTGGGCACTGGGGCAGTGGGAGGTGCCCCTGCCATGGCAGGGGTGGAAGGAGATGATCCTTCAGGTCCCTGCCACCCAAACCAGTTCCTGATTCCATGATTCTCTGCTGTGCCTTTCCCTTTGTGCCTGGGAGCCCCGGCAGGCCTGTGGCAAACCCAGCTGGTGGTGGTCTCACAGCTTGCCCAGCCTGTCTGGGATGGTGCATCAGGCAGGAATCCACCTCGAGGTGGGGCCTCCCTCCCTTGTCAGCTCCTCTGCAGCCCCTCAGAGCTGCTCCTTAAAGCTGCCAGTCTCTGGGAGCTTCATTAGCTTTTGTGGTTAATCTTTAACTCCCCTTTGTGCCCACAATAATAACTGTTCTCACTGATAACCCCTGGCTGATCCCTGTGATCCCTGTGGGCTCTGCTCCCTAATTAACTGACGGAAATTGCTGATATCCCTGGCACAATAGTGTGGATATCCAGCACTCTGCCATAGAATATTTTAGACTTTATTGAGGTATTTATTCATTCTTTTTTTAGCAAAGAAAGCAGGCACAGCCTCATTCTCCATTAGACCTTTTTGTGGGAGGGAAATCAATAGAGGAAATTATGTTTGGTTCAAATATTTATGCTGTGACATCACTCAGGGTATGGGCATTTCTCCAAATTAACCACATGCAGTGTGCAAAGCACAAGGCCACATCTGACCATAAAAAGGCATACACAGAGTCATGGAAACATGGAATGGTGTGGATTGGAAGGGACCTTAAAGACCAGAGAATCAGAGAATCATAGAGTAGAATCATGGAGTGCCAGCTGTGCCCCATGGGCACCTTGTGCCCAGCCCAGAGCACTCAGTGCCACCTCCAGGGCACACCTGCAGGGATGGGCACTGCAAAGCTCCCTGGGCAGCCCCTGCCAAGGCCTGAGCTCCCTTTCCATGGGCAAATTGCTGCTGCTGTCCCAGCTGAGCCCAGCATGAGGCTCTATCATTGTGAGAATTCACAGCTCTCAGGTGGAACTTTATCACCCAAGTCTGTGCAGTAATTCCACCTGGCACCAGGTGATAAGCTGGCCCTTTAATTTTAACACAATTTCTGCTGTCTTTCTGGGCTGTGTGACCCCACCACCCCTGTGAGCCCTACACTGCTCAGTCCTGCCCAGCACAGACCCCCAGCTCCAGCCCAGCTCATGCCACGACCGTGGGGTCACATTTGGCTTCCTGCAGCTTTCTGGTGCTGCAGGACTGACCTGATTTTCGCTCTGTACACAACTGGAGTCATGGCAATGGGACCAGCGGCAGATGCTGGCCATGAGAATGTCAGCACTGGGAGAAGAATTTTTCACCAATTTGTGAATCTTGGGCAGGCTGATCACTGCAATCCTGGGGATTAGCACAGCACAGGTGTGGGACGTGCAGGTGTTCAAAGCCCTGCTCTCAGTGGTGGAGAAAGTGTGCATGGAATACATCTTGTCGAGGCTACAGCAAGGAATACATGGAAGTGTGTGTGACCGTGTTCACAGGGGTCTGAGGATGAGGGAAGAGATAAGGATCTGACTCCATGTTTCAGAAGGCTGATTTATTATTTTATTATATATATTACATTAAAACTATACTAAAAGAATAGAAGAAAAGGTTTCATCAGAAGGCTAGCTAACAACAGAGAGCAAAGAATGAAAACAAAGGTTTGTGGCTTGGCTCTCTGTCTGAGCCAGCTGACTGTGATTGGCCATTAATTAGAAACAACCACATGAGACCAATCCCAGATGCACCTGTTGCATTCCACAGCAGCAGATAATCATTGTTTGCATTTTGTTCCTGAGGCCTCCAGCTTCTCAGGAGGAAGAATCCTAAGGAAAGGATTTTTCATAAAAGTTGTCTGCGACAAGTGTGTATGGAATACATCTTGTCAAGGGTAAAACAAGGAATGCATGAAGTGTGCATGGAATATATCCTACAAGGCTAAAGCGGGGGATTGGCATTGAACTCCCCCAGCCCGTGCAGCACCTGCAGCCCATCACTGCCTGCTGAGTGGGACACCCAGCCCCAGTGCTGGCCAGGACTGGGCAGTGTGGGGTGCTGGGAGCCCAGTGCTGGCCTCTTGGGACTCTGCTGCTCACAGAGACCCTGAGATGTGTTAAAGTCTCTGTTCCCAGCCCAGCAGTCAAAGGAATCAGGGCTCCTCAATTCTCATTCTCAAGGTTGTTTATTTATCTTATCTATAAAATTCTTTCTGCTGACCTGCCAAGGTCGCTCAGCAGGACAGTCCAGGCACTCTGCTTGCCTCTGGGCAGTGTTATGTTTTTATACTAAAAACTATGTGTACAATGTTTACAATACCTTCCCAATACCTATCACTTATGTTAGACAGTGAGCTTCTACTCTAAACCAACCCAAAAGTGCCACCATCCCAGCAGAAGACAGAGAGCAAGAAGAAGAACGAGAAAGGCTGGACATGCCCAGATCCCTCCGTCTTGCCCCCTGAACCCCCATTCCAAAAACCCCAAAATGTATTTTTCACCCTGTGATAAGTTCACTATCATTCTGCTTAAACTGTTGTGGCTTGCAGATCTTCATCTAAGGTTGGTAACTTGCTCCATGGATCATAATCAAACCCACAGGTGTTTTGGGCTCTGTGCCAGGGGCTCTGAGCCCCCTGACAGGGGTTTGGCAGTCCAGGACAGCCAGAGGGGTGTGCTGAATTCTGACACTGCCCAGCCTGAGAGCCCCACTCAGGCCGAGATCAGCCCTGTGCGCTGGCCTGGGACAGCCAGCCCCAGTGCTGGGCAGCACTGAGAGCCCCAAGAGCCCCACTCAGGCCGAGATCAGCCCTGCGTGCTGGCCTGGGACAGCCAGCCCCAGTGCTGGGCACTGTGGGGCAGTGGGTGCCCAGTGCTGCCCAGCCCCACTGCCCCAGAGATCAGCCCCAGCCACCTCCCTGCAAGGTCACCAGGAGACCTCGGGCTCACTGGCACCCACCAGGACCCCAGGCTCTTCTCCATCTCTCCCTTCTGCTGAGATCATAATAAAAGCCCCAATTATAATGAAATTTTACCCAAAGTCTGTGGCACAGGTCTGCTCAGGCCCAAAGGCACAGCACAGAGTGTCCTCAGGCTCTGGTTTATTGCTGCTAAAATTGGTTACTGATGGCAAGGAGCTGCTGTGACTCAGCTGGGTGTTTGCATTCTGTGGGGTTGACTTCCCAAGCACCTTCCCACCCGGAGCTCAGGATCTGTTTCCATGGCAGGGAGGTGATCAGTGCCCAGCTGTGCCAGGCTGCAGTGCCACCCTCAGCCCCCTCTGGCAGCCCTGAGCGTCCTCAGCCTCCCACGGGAGCTGCCATCAGCACACTCCTCAGGGAGCAGCCTCCCCTGACACTGAAGAGATTCCTTTCTTCTCGGGAACTTCATTTTCTTCTACTGGAAGGTGTGCCTGCCTGTGCCAGGGTGGGACTGGATGGCGTTTAAGGTCCCTCCCAACCCAAACCCTTCTGTTGGAATACATGAAATAAAAGCCTCCCTGAGTCCTTCAGAGACAGGAAGGAGTGCAGGGATTGAACTGGAACCTTTAGAGAAACTGAAATATATTAATCCTCACAGACGTGAAGTAGGACTGTAAGTTTTGGTTTAAAGTAAGTAGAAATACATCTTAAGAGACTGTGCTAGCAGTGAAAGGCTCTAAAGCCTAGTTTAAAGTTCAGTAGTGATACCTTGCACAACATTAATTTAAGTCCAGACATCATGAAAACATAGCAGAACACTGCTTGCATTTCTGGATAGAACAGATAGAGCCATTTGTGTGAGCAGATAGAACTGTGTATGTAGGTTTTGGGTAAGGACTGACGCTGCTTTCACACATTAGAATTAAGCCAGGAGAGGTGTAGGAAGAATGTTTTAGGATCGTGTTTTTAGCTGATTATGTGATTTATGAATAAAATCTCCCTGTATTGGGGTAAAAGACGTAGCAGTGGCTGCTGCTGCTGCTTCTACACATTGAGACTCTGTGCCAGAAAGCTTTTAGCTTTTTTTAGCATCACTTGAATGCTCTGAACTCTTCACCTTCGAGGCTGATGCATTCATGAAATAAACAACTTTACACCAACCAACAGCTGCTCCTGTCTCTTTGAAGGCCCAAGACCCACTCCTAACT